CCCGCCGCGCCCCTCGCGCGCCGCCGACGCCCCCGACCCCGCCGCCGCCCCCGACCCCGCCCACTCCGCCCACGTTCATGACCTCCCTCTCCCCCTCAGCCCTGTCGCGTGCCAGGCGGGCCTCAAAGCGGTCCCTGCTGGCGCTCAGCTTGGAATAGCGGCGGTCGACGCCTGTCTGCAGCCGCATCAGCTCGGGAACGCGCTCCTGCGGACGGTGGGGGTGTTGTGTGGTGAGGAGTGTGCGTGCGTATCTGTATGCAGGAGGGCGCTGCTCTTGGCGGCTGATTGGGCGGCTCTGGGAAGGCCCTTCAGTTGGAGGAGCATCACGTGCTTTGGACGGGACATGATCAGGGTTTGGGTCGGGTTTAATTGGGGGTTTGGCTGGGAATCAGGAGGGTGGCTTGGTTACTGCAACCGGCGGACGCTTGAGGGTTTGCGAAGGCGGCGTTTGACCATGCGACCGGGCGGCCCCAAATCCCTCGTCCAGCTGGGTGCAAAACCAGAGTCCCAGTCGGCGGCGCTCGCCTCGACCACGCGCAGCAGCTCCCTCCACGCGTCCACGGGGTGCAGCACGTCCCCAATGATGCGGTCACGCAGCTCGCCACGCGCCTCCTCCAGGGCGCCAAAGGTCGCGTCGTCGCCGCCGACCTTTTGAGGAGGGTGTTATACATGGGGCTGGTGGTCGTGTGTCGGAAGGGCGGGGCTGGGCTTCCCGGGTAGTGGGACTAGCTGGGGGGTTGGCGTCGATGTTGGATGGGTGCTGGGGCTGAGGCGGCTTGGGAGAGGGTCGAGATGAAGACAGGCCGCGAAGGGAAAGGGCTGTGCGCTGCAAGTGTGTTGGCACTCGAAAAATTATACCTGACAGCCTCCTGGAAGCCGACCCGTGTGCACAAGGGCGGATGGGCAGGCACCGCGAGGCACATAGTGAGGCGCCGCCCACCGTGTGGCCGTGCTCGTGTGAGACAGGCGCGCGGACGGGCTCTGCGAGGCCGCCCCTTCAGGGGAAGGAGGGAGAGGTGTGGCCCCGTGGAGGGTTGGGAGGGGGCAGCGGTGGCTTCTTGAACAAGGCCCCGCGCGTCACCCGCCGTCGACGTCGCCGCCCAGGCAGTTGGCATGACGTTGTCGTGGAAACTCTCCCAATTACCCGTGGGGCGTTGCTGAGTGGTCAGGAGGCGGTCCTAGGTTCTGAGGCGACGTGACAGGCGCCCCGAGGGCCTCTCATGCAAGGGCCTGCAGGCATCGACCCGTTGGGCCCACTCACTCGACGCTTGTCCAGACGCGCGGCAGCGGCGCGCGCAGCACCGGTTCTAGCGTGCGGAGGAAATGCTCTGTGGCGTGTTCAAACTTGAGCGTCTGTGTCGTTGGGTGCAAACGGGGGTCGCACGTGTGGGGCCGTCGGTGCTACGTGTTCGCACAGTGACGGCGCTGTCACAGTGACGCGGCAGGCGGCACGGGCAGGCACTGGCGCCCCAATAGCCAGCTTACCGAAGCCTGGAAGCTCGATAGCTCGCGATCGAAAACCCGCGCCTCCTCGCGCATTTTGAGGACGCGCAGGGAGCCCGAGGCCCTCTCGGCCTCGGACGTTGCGGTGGAGTACATTTTGGGTGCAAAATTGAGGATGTGGTTGCAGGAATGGATCATTTATGCCGCTTTTAGGTTATACAAGATATGTCTTGACACTGGATCGGCCAGCGTCCCACAAGGGTGACGCATGATGACGACAGACCAGCATCGTGCTGTGCTGGCAAGATGTTGAAAGCACATTGTTGACGCAAAGAGGTGCAGCTGAGATCTGGTCATATTTGCGTTACTCTGCAGCGGACTTGGCTGCCGGCGGTGTTGTGCACAGCATGGGTCTCCTCGGTTCGCTGCTGGATGCACTGATGTGACTGCCTGCGGGGAAGGGGGGGGTGCAGACCGCTGCATTTTGCAGAGGGCAACCAAAACATGTGTCGATGAGGTGCCAACTCATGACGGTGCGTTTTCAAGCCAAAAGCTTACACAGCATGTAGGTGATGCGCCTGAGAGACACCGGACGGTGAGCATGAGCACAACAGGTGTTGCAGCGGAGTTGATCTGCCGCGATGAGTGAGATCCGGCGGTGCTGGCCGCGATTTCAGCGGCGACGGAGGAGGGTCGACTTTCTGATTGTACAGTGCTGCGAGCGAAATGGGCGCCCAGTTGTCTACAACCTCTGTAATCTAAGCACATGCTGCTGCAAAAGAATTGCCCTAGAATGTAAAAAACACTGTCTCTGTGTTGCGCAAACCGTTATGCTGCTGACTACCCCGTCGCAGGCGCTGCACCTTTGCTGTCAGCCACTGCCGTTGACCAGCCACTCCACCGCCCGGTCAACGCTCCCGCTCGTCGCCCACAGCGCGCGCCGCGCCTCCGCCTCCGCAAACCCCATGCCAAGCAGCGCGCGGACGCCCTCCGCTGAGCAAGCACCGCCGCCTGGGCCATTGGCTTTGGGCGTGCCGCTGGCGCCTTTCCCACACAACGCACCGCCGCCTGCAAGGAGTCCGCCGCCGCCGCCGCCGTTGGCAGCTTTCAAAGGGGCGACGCCGCTGCCGTGTCCCAGGGCGCCCGCCACCCGCTGCTTCTTATTAGGCACCACGCCGCTGACGCAGTTAGCCGCTGCAGGCGCGGCGTGGGCGTGCGACGTGACCTCCGAATCCGCCGCCGCAGCGCCCTTGCGTTGCGCGCCGCCGCGGCCGCCCTGCCCTGCTCCGCCGTCGCCGCTGCCCAAGTCAACCCCTGACGAGTCGTCGATCTCGATGACGGACGCCGGCCGCTTCTGGCCCTGCTGCTGCTTCTGCAACGCTTGCCGCTTGGGCGCCTGCTGCTGCTTCGCAGCCAGGGGGCCCGCGGGCGCCGCCTTCTTATGCTGCGGCGCAAAACTCAACTGCTGCTGCCCTGCCGCCGCCACCGCTGCCGCCCGCTTCCGGCCCGCGCCCGCGCCAACCTTGGCGGCGCCGACGACAGCGGCTGGGGCCGCCCTGAGTGCCGCCTTCGGCGCGAGCGCGGCCGCCGCCGCCGCGTCCTGCTGCTGCGTCGCGGAGGCCCCCGTCTTGCCCACCGTCTGGAAGAAGTCGTGAATCGTCTTCGGCGCCCGCAGCGCCTTGGCGACAGATTTCGGGTCCACAGGGGTCGGCGGCTCGATCCGCGCGACCTGCAGCTGCGCCGCGCCGTTGGACAGCGCCTGGAGGTGCGGCTTGGCGCCGCCGAGCGCGCCCGCGCCCATGCCGCCCAGCGCAAAGGCGCCGCCGAACGCACCGGCTGCGAGGGCCGCGAGCTGCTGCGCGGCTTCCGCCTGGAGGGAGGAGAGGAGGGCCTTCACATCTGGCAGCAGCTGGGCCGGGTAGCGCACCCCGACAAGGTAGCTGCCCGCAGGGACAGCCGCCACCGCTGCCGCTGCCGCCGCCGCCGACGCCACACCAGCGCCACCAGTATCCCCATCGCCGCCGCCGCCACCGCCGTTCGCTAGCTCTGCTGCCCGCTGCTGCTCCTGGGCGTGTGGGTCCCCCTGCTGCTGTTTCTGCTCCTGCTGCTGCTCCTTCTCCTGCTCCTGCTGCTGCCGTCCCTCGCCACTGCCGCCACTGCCGCCACTCCCGCCACTGCCGCCACCGCCGGTGCCGCTGGCGACGCGCGGCCCGAGCGCCACGCGCACGACCCTCATGGCCCGGTCCGCCTTTGGCAGCTCCGCCCCCCGCTTCTCCAGCAGCGCCTCCAGCACACCCCACACGCGCACCACAGAGCCCGTCAGCAGGGTGACTGGGACCGGGTGGAGGATTATGGCGGCAGGGACAGTGTGGGTGAGGCAATGAGTGGGATGTCAGGTGTGGTGATGGGTCAGGTGCGAGGGTGGGAGGATGATAGAGAGTGGGACTGCAGCTTCCCAGTGTTGCTTGTGGTGCTGCGCCCCTGCCTGTTCTGAAGGTTGCAGTAACCCATCCCGGTTTCTCTCAATGCCAGGCGCCTCACTCACCCTCGATCTGCCGCCTGCCAACCTGGCAGGCCGCCCCCTGCCCACACATCGCGCCGTGCATGCACGCCGACATGCTGCTGCCGTACGCGGCCTCCCACTCTGCCGCCGCCTGCTCTGGCGACATGCGGGTGTATTTGGTGTCCAGCTCAGAGCGCTCCATGTCAAAGATTGAGTCGCCTGTTATGGAAGAGGGTGTGGTCAGGGGAGTAGGGTCAGGGTGAGAGTTGGGTGAATTGTGAGGGAAGCGAGGTGACAAGAGATGAGGGCTGGGTGTTTCGAAAAATTGCTTTGAATGTGCTGGGTTGTGCCTTTGCCTTTTCCTGGTCAGCAGATGCGGCGCCATCCCGACAGAGGGCAAGACAAGTGCAGATGTCGAGCCTACAAGCCAGCTTTGACATGCACAGTCGTAAACAAATGGCCTGCGCCATCACCAGGTACGAGTACCAATTCCCGGTCCCCTGCGCCCACCTGTGTTTGGCCGCACGAGGCTGTAGACGTTCTTGTGCCCCGGCTTCTGGATGGCGAGCAGCACCATGTGCGACCCAAACATCGGACGCCGGCTGCGCCTGAAGCCGCTGTCGTCGCCAGGCACCTGCGATGAAAGCACCGACGCACGTCCCTGGGACCCATGCACTTCCAGACTCACGTGCTGGAGGTCTATTTGACGTATCCCTTGATGCCACACAGGGCACCCAAGTTTCATCAGGGCGGCGCCGGCAGCGCTTGTGCATTGTGAGGTGTTTTTGTAATCGCGCTCTCACCTTTTCGTGCTCCAGCCGCCGCAGGGCCTCCGGGAAGGGCACGCCGCGGTCCACCAGCAGCGTGTGCACCAGGGTGCGCTGCGCCGACGTGGAGGCACCGGGCTCGGACCAGAGAACCTGGGAAGGGGCGGGGCAGGCAGAGCCGGGCTTGTCAGAGGGATCTCCACAAGGCGCGAGCATGGGTAGGTGAGCAGGCGCCGCCAACCAGCGAGGCGCCTGTCACACACTCCACCAAACTCACAACGCAGGGCGTTCCCACTCTTGGATAGCAAGAGAATAGCCAACAGCGTTTGGCGCCGCAGCCCGTGCGCGGTCGGCGCCGGAGCCGCTGTGGGGCCGGCGGCCCCTCACCTTGGGCTGGCCCTTGACCGTGATGCTGCTGCCGCTGAGGTCCGACACGCCCTCAGAAAACCGTCCCTCCGCCTTGGCCGCCGCAATCTCGGCAGCCAGCGTGGCGGCAAAGTAGCTGCGCGAGACGAGGGAGCAGGGATATGCATGCGCTTTGCGCGTTAATTGGGGGCTGGCGAGCATTCAGGGCTAGGGAACAGGTTTGCTACCAAGTAGCATAGCGGCCTCTTGTTTGAAAAGCGGGGCAGCTGCATGACGAAGGAGCCGTTCTCATGCTGAGGTTTAGCCCATGCGCGCCATGAGTGCAGGGCAGTGTCACGAGGGGCATCCAGAATTCAAGCCCAGACCCCCCCACCTGAACAGGAGGTTCTGCTTCGCCAGGGGCAGCCCGAGCAGCCGGTTGAGGAACCGCCGCACTGCGAGCAGAGCGCGTCGCGTCCAGGCGGCGGGGCCGTCAGATGCCGGGGCCTGCACGAGTACTGAAGCGCTGCAGCGATAGGCAACTTTCAAAACACAAGAATGCGCATCCGTCGCCACAAACCTCATGCCAGGCGCCAATCCCTTTGGACATGGCCTACTCACCGTCCCCGAGGTCCTTGTTGCTGCTGCTTGCCCCGACCACCCGCTCCTGCAATAGTTTGGAGGGGCGGTGGGTGCGGCAGCGGCAGCTGTAAAGGCAGGGGCTGCAGGAAAGCTTGAAAGACCTGCACCTTCAACCCTGGGCTTCATCAGGGCTGCATTGATGAAGCTGAAAGGATAGAAAAAGGGACTGGCTGTCAGCCCGTCCCCGGCTTTCCCAAAGCACTGCGGCATCGAGGGCAGCCGGCCCGCGCGACGAGCCGCGCACCTCTGCAACCGTGTCGCTGCGCGGCGCCCCCAGGCCGATGCCCATGATGTCGCAGCAGTCCCTGAAGTCCGCGTGCAGCCGCGACACACCCAGCGCCTGCTGCAGCAGACGGTCCGGCTGCGACCCGCCTGCCGCTGCTGCTGCTGCTGCTGCTGCTGCTGCTGCTGCTTCGCCCGCCTCCGACGGCGCCGCTGGGCCCGCCTCCACGCCTGCATCTTGCGAGACGGCCGGCGGCGCCGCGCGGCGCAGCAGGGGGCCGTAGCGGGCGCGCAGCTCCTCCGGGCAGTCGCGGAGGAGGGCGGCCAGGGATACGCCGCTGGGCAGCGAGGTCGACTCCTGGGGGCAGGCGGCGGGCCGGTGGCGGCACAGGGGTTCAGAATGGTGGTTCAGCGCCGGGGGGCTCGCAGACAACGGGGAGCGCACAGAGCTGGCAACAGCTTCCCCTGAGCCTCAGATCATCGCAATCACAGCAGCTGACCCTGGGCATTGGCTTACCCTGGACCGCTGGCACCAGCAACCCCAGGCGGTGCCCTTAGGGCAAGACTTGTGGGCCCCTAGACTGGAAGACCCAACATGCATGCAGCTGGGCGCCCGCAAATTCCTCTGCACCCCAATCCTTCATCCCGCCACCCGCACATAAGGCCCCTGCCAGCCGCCCCTCCTGACCTGCACTATGTGGTCGTACATACGCCTCAGGCTCTTGCGCCCCCAGGGGCTGTCAAAGTTCTGCTCCGACAGGTCGATCCCGCTGGCCGCGCGCCGGTCGCCGCGCGTGAGCGCGCCCAGCGACTGCAGGCGGCGCGCCACGGCGGCGGCGAAGCGCTTCTCGCCGCCGACGGCGGTGGTGACCAGCTTGTACATGGGGGCCGTCACCTGGTGACGGGGAGGGTGCGGGCGTGAGTGGATCGAATGTCTAGTGAAAAATCAAGCTCTTGTGCTGCGACGCGGCCCGTGCGAGCGTTGGCCGGGCGGGGAAACGCATGCTCGCCGACGAAAGCGACCCTCGCGTCACGCGCCCCCCCAACGCACCTGGTTGCTGCGGTGGGAGCGTCCGAGCTGCTGGATAGACTTGTCCGCGCTCCACGGCAGCTGGCGAGGAACGGACCGTTGCATAGGCGAGGGTACTCAAAGGATTGCGATTCCTAGGTGCGACGCTGAAGGTGCGCCGCTCTACACCCCCCAAAAAAACTTTAATCCTGCCATGGTAAAGCACCCATGTGCTCGCCCGCTCCAGCACACCCAATCTGAGCCCCCCACCTCGATTGTGAGGTGCACGCGCCGCCGTTGGTTCTGGGCCTGCCTGCTGGCGTGCAGGCTGATGCCTGTCGACGCTGCGTCGCTGATGATGGCCACCAGCTTCTTGCCCGCCATGAACTGGGCGCACTCCTTGACTGTGGTTATGCGCGTATGAAGAGGAGGCACGACATGGTCAGCATGTGTTGACCGCGTCATACGCATCTGAAGCATTTGGCTGTCTGGGAATTGCTTTCGTGCACCTTTCCATACGAACATATCTGAATGTGTAAAGTTTGATTGGCAAATGGGGGGCGGATGCCTAGAGGTGCGCCCCAGCGCATTCACTGCTGGTTCCAGCCGCCCCAAAGTGTTGCGATGAAACCAACCCCCCCGCACCCAGTGGAAGGCGTGCCAGGCACGTTCTCGCCACCACCCCCCAGTGGCCCTGAAAAGTCTGGACCCCAATGGATGTGCTTCTGCACCCCCAACCCACGCACCAACAAGCGCCAAGCAAATGCATCCATCAACTTCCGTCCTCGAGTCCCCGTCCTGTCAAGTGCCCCAACCGCCTCCAAAGGATTCACGAGCCCACCACAACGCCCCCGTGTCCTGGGCGGCCCATCAACCGCCTCACCGTTGAGGGAGTCCATCTCGCTGCTGTCAGGCTTGGCCCGCAGCTCATACCGCGCCCGCCCCGCGCAGTCCCGCACCACGCGCCCCTTGCGCCCTGCGTACACGGGCAGGTCCATTCAAGGCGCCCACCCAGATGACTCAGATGCAGGGCGGCACAAGGCCAAAGAGGTGCTTTCCATGGCAAGGACGTCAGAAATTGGGCTGGGGAAAACGGGCGCTCATCCTGTCGACCGTGAGCGCTACAGTGGACAGCACTGCCGCGACGCAAGCTTGGCCTTTGCATTTGCGGCCGCACCTGTCATTTCCGCCACCGAGTCGGGGCCGCCCAGCTCGTCAATCAGCTGGGGAACGGGAAGGGGGCAACAACAGCTGAGATTGTGAGCGGCCCTACTGCAAAGGCGTGCTGCCCAGCAAGCTTTGGATGCCACATGCAGCTGCAGCGCTGCCAGCCCCCATCGTGCGGCTCACCTGGTCCAGGAAATTGGGCGGCAGCTGCAGGCTGTTCAGCTGCGGCAGAGAGGGGCGGGAGGATGCAACAGACTTCGATGATGGACACCTGTGGTTGACCATCACAGAACGGGATCTTGCGCTTCATTGTAGCGCCGTGAGCCTAAACACCCCCCCTGCCACCCCCGCCCCACACCTAGCACCCAGGGGCACACCCCGGCACCCACCTGCTGCAGCAGCTCCTCCTTCAGAGCCAGGCACTCCGCCACAGGCTGGGGCTTCAGGCCCGCCGCAAGGCCTGCGGTTGCGATGCAGCAACGAAGCACCGCGACGAGGGCGCTTGCATGGCAAAGGCGTATGCTGGCAGCACTCACAGGGCTCCTCAGGTCGGAAGCTTGAAAGCGCTGCACTGCAGCGTCTTTGCTGCAAAAAATGGCCAGGCTGCGCCACTCACCTTCGCTGGTCACCTCGCGCTGCACCGGGAAGTGGGTCTCTATGAAGCGCGCCACCAGCTCCCGTGTCGTCGCAACAAACCCCGCCACAGGGCCCGGCTCCAGGCCGGCCGCGTCTGCCGCCGCCTCGCCGGTGGACTGCAGGCCGATGACGACGCAGCGCCCCGCCAGCAGCGCCGCCTTGGCCTGGGCCGGGGTTGCAGAGGGCGCCGGGCGTACGTTCTTAGAGGCGAAGGCCTTGACGCGCAGCTCGGGTGCGCTGGCTAGCGGCGTGTGGAGAGTTCAAGGCGGGCCCAGACAAGCGTCATACGGCAGAGGAGCGCCCCTTGAGAGCCCAAAAGGAGCCGCTCTGCATCCGCGCCCAAACCGCCCCTCCAAACGGCCCCGTAAGCGCTTGCACATCAACTCCGGTTTCGCGCTCCGCGCCTCTCCTGTCCCCACCTCCTCGACCACTGTTGGGACCTTCATCGAGACGCACAGGCTCTTGAAGAAGCGCTGGTGCGCCCCCCAGAAGGGCTTCCACGCGTCGTTCCGCCGCAGCTGCGCGGGCGCGCCGGCGCTGGCGGGCGCACCCGTCAGCTCCAGCGCCCGCTCCAGACCCAGCCGCAGGGCCTGCGCAGGTTGGGGGCGCGGGGGCCGGCGAGGATTACCACAGTGGAAAACGACATCGGATGAACGCATCAAGCGCGTCGAGTGGGGATTCAGAAAGGTCCGCGGAGGGCAGCTTTGCCCCTGCATCGTGATGGCGCAGGCATGCGAACCCGCCCCGCGCCCCTCCTTCTTCCGGGCCCGACAGGCGCACCATCCAGAGCTCTGTTGCTTCGTCATACATGGCGGCCTGGCGAGGGGTCAGGGGGGCCTCCAGCTCAAGAAACTCGGCATCCCTGTCAGTAGATAGAGAGTGTGTGTGTTGATGTGTGTGTGTGTGTGCGTGTGTGTGTGCGCGTGCGTTTGTGTGTGTTATTTTGAAGTGAGGACGCAGGCGTTGTTACTTCAGGTCACACAGGCGAGGTTGGTGGGCACGTGATTGCTGGGCGCCTAGGTGGAGCGCATGTGAGGCTGGCGCGACCCCCCTGTCAGCGCCTGGCACTGGGGAGGCGGCACGCCTGCTCCAGCCTGCCGCACCTGAATGACAGGCCGCGCGCCACGTACTTGCCGGCCGCCTTCATCTCCATCGCCAGCATCTCCAGGAACGACACACCCCTGGGAGTGGCAACGCGCAAGGGGGGGCCGGGTGAGGTGATGGCCCTCGCGCAACCTAGCGCCAGCGCCTCACCAGTGCAGATTCAAGGCCCGGCCAGTGCCACCCTCTCCCGCCCAGCCCCTGCCCGCACACTCCTGCGGAGCAATGGCACCGCCAAGTGGACACCCCCAGGCCCCCACCTCTTCTTCATGCTGTCCAAGAAGGCCTCGAAGTCAGAGAATGCGGTGCCAGGGCCCCACATGTGCATGCGGGTCATGTAGGCTGTGTTGCCCACCTGCAGAAGAGGGAGGAGCAGCAGGAGCGTCAGTTGCACGGGCAAAACCGTTCCAAATTCTGCGGATCCCTTGGGACGGGCTTTCTGGGCCTAGATGAAAACGGGCGGCGACAGCTGTCTGCAGAGGAGGTCGCGCTGCCAGCAGCTGCAAAGGGGGCTCAAAAACTACGGAGCCCGGCGCGTGCGCGCCCCCACCTCGCTGACACCCGTGGCGCTGCAGTAGAGGACGCGCGCCCTGGGCAGGCGGCGCTGCAGCTCGATGACGGCGGCCGCCACCTTGGTGCTCTGGGCCTCCTTGCCCGGCACAAAATTCTTGGCCTGTGGGGTGGGAGGTGGAACATGATGGGTTGGAAAGTGCTTCATGGACGGAGGAGTGGTGGAGGAGCGTTGGTGACGCAACTTTGGTGTTGGGCGACGCCAATGGATGGGGACGAGGCGGAGCCGCAAGACAATCAACGCAAGGAATCAGAAGGCTCGAAGATAGCACCGCTGTGCGCCGCTCCCTGGCGCGCACCTTGTGGCACTCATCGAACACCAGGAGGCCGTCAAAGCTGTCGCCCTTGAGCCACTCGATCACCCTGCATGACGTGGGGCCAAAGTGAGGACGGCCGGGAGCCGGCGGCTGGACAGTCGCAGGCGGGCATGTCCTGGAAGCATGCAAGCGTGTGAAGCGGCTGGCCGGGTCCAAATGCGCGGCAGCGTTGGTGAGCGGCGTCGTCCACTCCGACGGCCCGACACAAATCCAAGGCACCCACTGGTCGAGCCGGCTGCGTCCGCCCTTGCCGCAGCTGACCAGCGTCGAGTAGGTGCTGCCAGGCACCAGAGGACGCGAAGAAGAGGGGCAATTGCGGAGGATTGAAAGTTGGATTCAAATGAGGATTGTCACAGCGTCCCGCAACCGCCCGCGTTTGGAGCCACCAAGGCTCATGGCATTGGTCGTTGAAGATTTGTATTGTTTGGCTACCGTCCGCACCAGAAGCCTCGACCCAACCCCGGAGCAACCCAAGGGCCCCAGAACAGCACCGTGCCCGCGCCAGCTGCCACGCACGCCGGCTGCCGTGCCGGCCGCAGCGGCGCCACCTTGCGGCCGGCCACGGTCTCCCAACCGCGCAGCGTCGCCCCCCGCCCCCCGCGGCACCCGCCCCGTCACTCGTCACTCACATGAACAGCACCCCCTCCTGCAGGTCCTTGGCCAGCCCCAGGGCGCGCGTCTCCTTGTCCAGCGTCTGCAAGTTGTTGATTACTGGGATGTGGCAGCCTGGGCAGACAAGATGCACGGGATGCAGAAAGGAGCGCTGGGCTTAAGTTATGTCATTGGGACCATGTACGGTTGGCCATTTGCCAGGCCGTTGTCATGGAGCGCTGACGGGTATCACCGCCCTCCGCGCTGCAGGCCGCCGCCTTCTTCTAACATTCAACTCGCAAAGCGGCCCCTGGCAAGTCGGTTCCGTGAGCCCATGTCCCCGCATCACCCACCCAGGTCCCGCAGGTCGCGCGTGGCGTCCTGATGCAGGTCGCTGGACGTGCTCAGCCACACAGCGCGCCTGCGGGCGATTCGAAAGGGTCCGGGATGCGAATCGGCATAAAACCAGAGGGGCCTGGCTGCAAGGGGTGCACATCAGGCCGCGCCGCGCAATCGCTGGCAGAGGGCGGAGCAAGCGCTGCTGCAACACAAGCCCTACACCACTGTTGTTGCCGTGGCGCGGCGCCCCCGCACGCACCTGCGCCCGCGCGCATAGTTGTCCAGGATGCAGCCGGAGATTTGGCGCCCCTTGCCCACGCCTAAGGGAGGGCGAGGAAAGACAAAGCACACAAGTCCACTTGAGCATTCAACAGCCACCACAGGCTGGCAAGCCAAAGCAACCCCTTGGGAGGCAACATGGGGACGCATGGGCACCCGCGCCGGAGCGTTCGCATGCGAGCACGCATGCATGGGGTCGGGCATGGCCACGGCCATAACGCACCGGCGCCGTCGCCGATGAAGAAGCCGGCCCGCTCCCCTGATGGCAGCAGCTCCTGGTGGCGCGCACACGCGTACAGGATGCCCTCCAGCTGGCGGTGTGCATGAGGCGTGCATTTTCAGGCGGCCTCAGCGCGACGCTTCATGATTAGCTTTGGGAGCCGGGATGAGGTCGCTGACTGGCCATGCTGCGCTGAGGGGCCATGCTGAGTGCCCCGCATGCCCGCGATGGGCGATTCGACTGCATGCCCATGTGGCTCTGGCGCTGCAGCCGCTGCAGCCAGGGGACGGCACGCTGCCCAGCAAAAGCGCCGCACCTGCAGCTGGCTGAGCTTGCCGCCAGTGATGAGCTCGGGCGGCAGCGCGTCAAACAGAGGGTAGTCGGTCGGCGGCAGCGGGATGGCGCTGCGGGGTGCGCATGTCGCACGTGAGGGGCGGAGCAGCATGAGCTTCACGCACAAAAAATATCGCGCACAAATGCACCACGGATGGAATCGTTTGGCAACAAGCTCATAGGGAAAGGAGGAGGCTGTGCCGGGTTGCCACCCAGGACGCGCGTACGTCCGTGGCGCGCACGCTTTGCAGCGCTTTGAATGATGGCCGCCGCGCATTCACCTGAGACTGCTGGCCTCGGCAATGTCGCCCGGGTGTGGCTTACTGCCCTCGCGTGTAACACAGCTGCGATACTCGGCAAACACCTGCTGCACGCGCTCTCCGCCCTCCACATCATCATCTGTGCCGCGTCCAGGGACCCCGGCCACCACATCCTCTAACGACATGTTAACTGTAAACAATAGACGATCAGACCATGCTGGAGTTCCAGAAATGATCAACAAGATCACTGCGATCGTAGTTCACACCTGGTGACGGAGGGCTTGAAAGCTGATTAGCAAAGGCGCAAACAAATAAGGGTGAGGTATCGTGAATGGCAAAGCCACATGAGGGGCAGCGCAGGCAGACTGGCAGGCGCCGTTTCGAAATCTTTTGGCGGCAGTGCTCTGCTGCAATGGAACTGCGTGGACACTGTGAGAGTCGCTTGTGGAGCAACGCAAGGGTACCCCTATCTACAACCCCGTATAGGTTGAGTCGCCTGTATGAATGCGATTGTACGGTCTGTGGACCCCCCAGAAGCAGCAGCAGCACTTGTGGCGACAACTTTGGCACCCATCCACTTGGCAACTACACCAATGCCCGTTTCAAATTGCCACCAGGATTGTACTACTATATGGTTGCACATTGTTGATGCAATGATACTGTACTTCAGCTGCACCGCTGTATCTGCAGCACCACGTTGCTGACTGCTTATGATAGCAGCTGAAACGGGGGCGCGCAGCACACACCCAGGAGACGTGCCCGGCCCTGGGCCCTGGGGCCTCTCCAGCGCACAGGCGGGCCGCAGGTTTGGCCGCCTGCGGCGACGATAGCGCGATATCCGCGCCCCCGCCCCCCCGCCGGCGCCCCATGCATGTTAGCAAGGGCATGACTAGCGATTGATGGATTTGTTACTGCGTCTGCATCTGCAAGACTCATCGGGAGACGGTCGCCGCGACGGCCCCACGGTTTTTGCTTTGCTGTGTTACAATAGTCCAGGCTAGCTAGACTCCTACCGCCATTTTGACCCACCGGTTTGAACCAACAACTGTGGTTCAGCACAAACTGGCTGCCCAACGCAGACGGCCGGGCAACACACGGCCCACCGCCTCCGCATCCAAAATGTACAACTTTTTTGCTTTGCTTTGTTACAATCGTCTAGGCCAGCTAGACTCCTCTTGCCACTGTGACCAACCGGTGTGAAACAATAACAGGGGTTGAGCACACACTAGCCGCCCAGTGCCGACGGCAACAAGCTTAATACGAAAACAAGCCAAAACAAAGCTTCAGACATGCAAACAGTGCAATGAGGGCGCACTGCACACACCCAGGAGACATGCCTGGCCCTGGGCCCTGGGGCCTCTCCA